GTCTGTGTGTGTGTCTGTGTGTGTCTGTCTGTGTCTGTGTGTGTGTCTGTGTGTGTGTCTGTGTGTGTGTCTGTGTGTGTGTGTCTGTGTGTGTGTCTGTGTGTGTGTGTGTCCGTGTGTGTGCGTGTGTGTGTCTGTGTGTGTCTGTGTGTGTCTGAGTGTGTGTGTGTTTGTCTGTGTGTGTCTGTGTGTGTGTGTGTGTCTGTGTGTGTGTCTGTGTGTGTCTGTGTGTGTGTCTGTGTGTGTGTCTGTCTGTGTATGTGTGTCTGTGTGTGTGTCTGTCTGTGTATGTGTGTCTGTGTGTGTGTCTGTGTGTGTGTGTCTGTGTGTGTGTCTGTGTGTGTGTGTGTCTGTGTGTGTGTGTCTGTGTGTGTGTGTCTGTGTGTGTGTCTGTGTGTGTGTCTGTCTGTGTATGTGTGTCTGTGTGTGTGTCTGTCTGTGTATGTGTGTCTGTGTGTGTGTCTGTGTGTGTGTGTGTCTGTGTGTGTGTGTCTGTGTGTGTGTGTCTGTTTGTGTGTCTGTGTGTGTGTCTGTGTGTGTGTGTCTGTGTGTGTGTCTGTGTGTGTGTCTGTGTGTGTCTGTCTGTGTCTGTGTGTGTGTCTGTGTGTGTGTCTGTGTGTGTGTGTCTGTGTGTGTGTCTGTGTGTGTGTGTGTGTCCGTGTGTGTGTGTGTGCGTGTGTGTGTCTGTGTGTGTCTGTGTGTGTCTGAGTGTGTGTGTGTTTGTCTGTGTGTGTGTGTGTCTGTGTGTGTGTGTCTGTGTGTGTGTCTGTGTGTGTGTCTGTGTGTGTCTGTGTGTGTGTCTGTGTGTGTGTGTCTGTGTGTGTGTCTGTGTGTGTGTCTGTCTGTGTTTGTGTGTCTGTGTCTGTGTGTGTCTGTGTGTGTGTCTGTGTGTGTGTGTGTCTGTGTGTGTGTCTGTGTGTGTGTATGTGTGTGTATGTGTGTGTCTGTGTGTGTGTGTCTGTGTGTGTCTGTGTGTGTGTGTCTGTGTGTGTGTCTGTGTGTGTCTGTGTGTGTGTGTCTGTGTGTGTGTGTCTGTGTGTGTCAGTGTGTGTGTGTGTGTCAGTGTGTGTGTGTCTCTGTGTGCATCTGTGTGTGTCTGTGTGTGTGTATGTGTGTGTATGTGTGTGTCTGTGTGTCTGTGTGTGTGTGTCTGTGTGTGTCTGTGTGTGTGTGTGTGTCTGTGTGTGTGTGTCTGTGTGTGTGTGTCTGTGTGTGTGTGTCTGTGTGTGTCAGTGTGTCTCTGTGTGTGTGTGTCAGTGTGTGTGTGTCTGTGTGTGTCTGTGTGTGTGTCTGTGTGTGTGTGTCTCTGTGTGTGTCAGTGTGTCTCTGTGTGTGTGTGTCAGTGTGTCTCTGTGTGTGTGTGTGTGTCTGTGTGTGTGTCTGTGTGTGTGTGTCTCTGTGTGTGTCTGTGTGTGTGTCTGTGCGTGTGTCTGTGCGTGTGTCTGTGTGTGTGTCTGTGCGTGTGTGTGTCTGTGTGTCTGTGTGTGTGTGTCTGTGTGTGTGTCTGTGTGTGTGTCTGTGTGTGTGTCTGTGTGTTTGTCTGTGCCTGCAATGTTGCTGCTACTCACTAACAGCCCTCGCCCCAGCAGTCTGCTGACGGCTCCCGTCGTGACTCCCGGCACAGCCACTGAGTGATCTTCGCCACGCCAGCAGAACTTGTCCACGTCGCGACTCGTTCAGTGGCACCGCGGACGTCACCGGCGGGGCCTCGCGGCCCCCGCTACGGCGTGGGTGCCGTAGCGGCCCTGCAGGGGGCCCGGTGAGCGCCGTCCGCCGGCGCTGGCCGGCCCCGGGCCGCGGCAATGCGGTTGCCGAGGGCCGTGGCGCTCCGGTTTGACCCCAGAGGGCACGCCGTGGCCGGTCCACGCGTCGGGGTCGAGATCCTCCTGGAGGGTTCTGGAAGGTGGGCGTGGCCAAGGGGAGGGGGCGGGGCCACGCCCACGGAGGATCTCAGCCGGGGGAACGACCGCCGTTGTTCATCCTGAAGATATCTTCACTGTAAACTCTACGTGCAAGTAGGGGGCTAGGGGTGGTCACGTGTCAGAGTTCTGATTCTCCTGGAGGGTTCTGGAAGGTGGGCGTGGCCAAGTGGGGGGGCGGGGCCACGCCCACGGAGGATCTTAGACGGGGTCACCCCAGAGGGGAACGGCCGCCCTTGTTCATCCTGAAGAGATCTTTGCTCTAAACTCTACGTCTTGCAAGTAGGGGGCTAGGGGTGGTCACGTGTCGGGGTCGAGATCCTCCTGGAGGGTTCTGGAAGGTGGGCGTGGCCAAGGGGAGGGGGCGGGGCCACGCCCACGGAGGATCTTAGACGGGGTCACCCCAGAGGGGAACGACCGCCGTTGTTCATCCTGAAGAGATCTTCGCTGTAAACTCTACGTCGTGCAAGTAGGGGGCTAGGGGTGGTCACGTGTCGGACTTCAGATCCTGCTGGAGGGTTCTGGAAGGTGGGCGTGGCCAATGGGGGGGGCGGGGCCACGCCCACGGAGGATCTAAGCCGGGGGAACGGCCGCCGTTGTTCATCCTGAAGAGATCTTCGCTGTAAACTCTACGTCTTGCAAGTAGGGGGCTAGGGGTGGTCACGTGTCGGAGTTCAGATCCTCCTGGAGGGTTCTGGAAGGTGGGCGTGGCCAAGGGGGGTGGGGGTGGGGCCACGCCCACGGAGGGTCTAAGTCCTACGAGAGTCTCCGACACGTGGACCCGTGCCCAAGCTGTGGTCCGGTTCCTTCGTCGCCGGCCACGGTGCGGTTAGCACAGTGATCCTGGTGGTCACCACCAGGATTTGTTGATGTGTTAAGGGGCAGCAGTAACCCCGTGTGTGTGTGTCTGTGTGTGGCTGTGTGTGTCTGTGTGTGTCTGTGTGTCTGTGTCTCGGTGTTAATAAAAGAGTTGCCTCCAAAGGGTACGTCTGCGAGTCCGTTGAACTCACGACACTAGGACAGCACTAGTGTAGTGTGTGGTGTAGTGTAGTGTATAGTGTGTAGTGTAGTGTATAGTGTAGTGTGTGGTGTAGTGTAGTGTAGTGTGTGGTTTAGTGTGGTGTGTAGTGTAGTGTGTAGTGTAGTGTGTGGTGTAGTGTAGTGTAGTGTGTGTGTGTGTGGTGTAGTGTATAGTATTGTGTAGAGTGTCGTGTGTAGTGTAGAGTGTAGTGTATAGTGTAGTGTATAGCATTGTGTAGAGTGTGTCTCTGTGGGTCTCTATGAGTATGGGTCTCTGTGGGTCTCTGTGGGTCTCTATGAGTATGGGTCTCTGTGGGTCTCTATGAGTATGAGTCTCTGTGGGTCTCTGTGGGTCTCTGTGGGTCTGTGTGGGTCTCTGTGGGTCTGTGTGGGTCTCTATGAGTATGGGTCTCTGTGGGTCTCTGTGGGTCTGTGTGGGTCTCTGTGAGTATGGGTCTATGTGGGTCTCTATGAGTATGAGTCTCTATGGGTCTCTGTGGGTCTCTATGAGTATGGGTCTCTGTGGGTCTCTGTGAGTATGGGTCTCTATGAGTATGGGTCTCTGTGGGTCTATGTGGGTCTCTATGAGTATGGGTCTCTGTGGGTCTGTGGGTTTCTATGGGTCTCTGTGGGTCTGTGTGGGTCTCTATGGGTCTCTATGGGTCTCTGTGGGTCTGTGTGGGTCTCAATGGGTCTCTGTGGGTCTGTGTGGGTCTCTGTGGGTCTGTGTGGGTCTCTGTGGGTCTGTGTGGGTCTCTGTGTGTCTCTGTGGATCTCTGTGTGTCTGTGTGGGTCTCTGTGGGTCTCTGTGGGTCTGTGTGGGTCTCTGTGGGTCTGTGTGGGTCTGTGTGGGTCTCTGTGGGTCTCTGTGGGTCTGTGTGGGTCTCTGTGGGTCTGTGTGGGTCTCTGTGGGTCTCTGTGGGTCTGTGTGGGTCTCTGTGGGTCTCTGTGGGTCTCTGTATGGTCTCTGTGGGTCTCTGTGGGTCTGTGTGGGTCTGTGTGGGTCTCTGTGGGTCTCTGTGGGTCTTTATGGCAGAGATGTCGATGGTGCTTTTGATGATGATGATGTTGATGATAATGGTCGTGATGATGATGTTGTTGATGTTGATAATGTTGATGATGGTGTTGATGATGATGTTAATCATGTTGTTGTTGTTGATGTTGTTGTTGATGTTGTTGATGTTGTTGATGTTGTTGATGTTGATGTTGTTGTTGATGTTGTTGTTGATGTTGTTGTTGATGATGTTGTTGATGTTGTTGTTGTTGATGTTGTTGATGATGTTGTTGATGTTGTTGTTGTTGATGTTGTTGATGTTGTTGTTGATGATGTTGATGTTGTTGATGTTGTTGATGTTGTTGTTGATGTTGTTGATGTTGTTGTTGATGTTGTTGTTGTTGGTGATGTTGTTGATGTTGTTGTTGATGTTGTTGTTGATGTTGTTGATGTTGTTGATGTTGTTGATGTTGTTGTTGATGTTGTTGTTGATGTTGTTGATGTTGTTGTTGATGTTGTTGATGATGTTGTTGTTGTTGGTGATGTTGTTGATGTTGTTGTTGATGTTGTTGTTGATGTTGTTGATGTTGTTGATGTTGTTGTTGATGTTGTTGTTGTTGGTGATGTTGTTGATGTTGTTGTTGATGTTGTTGTTGTTGGTGATGTTGTTGATGTTGTTGTTGATGTTGTTGTTGATGTTGTTGATGTTGTTGATGTTGTTGTTGATGTTGTTGTTGATGTTGTTGATGTTGTTGTTGATGTTGTTGATGTTGTTGTTGATGTTGTTGATGTTGATGTTGTTGTTGATGTTGTTGTTGATGTTGTTGTTGTTGTTGGTGATGTTGTTGTTGATGTTGTTGTTGTTGTTGGTGATGTTGTTGATGTTGTTGTTGATGTTGTTGTTGATGTTGTTGTTAATGTTGTTGATGTTGTTGATGTTGTTGGTGATGTTGTTGTTGATGATGTTGTTGATGATGTTGTTGTTGATGTTGTTGGTGATGTTGTTGATGATGTTGTTGTTGATGTTGTTGGTGATGTTGTTGATGATGTTGTTGTTGATGTTCTAGGCGCTTGTGAGGAAGTCCTGGCGTGCGTCCAAAGGGTTCTAGGCGAGGCAGGCTTCAGGGGCTCAGCCCAGGCCCTGGGGCCAGGGCCTGGAGCCTGCGGCTCACTCAGCGGGGACGGAGAAACGTGAGGAGCAGCAACAACCACAACCACTACAACCACCACCACAACCACCACCACAACCACCACAACTACCACGACCACTACCACCACCACCACAACCACCACAACCACCACATCCACCACCACAACCACTACCACCACAACCACCACAACCACAACCACTACCACCACCACAACTACCACCACAACTACCACCACCACAACCACCACATCCACCACCACAACCACTACCACCACAACCACAACCACTACCACCACCACAACCACTACCACAACCACTACCACAACCACTACCACAACCACCACCACAACCACAACCACCACCACTACCACCACCACCACAACCATCACCACAACCACAACCATCACCACAACCACCACCACAACCACCACAACCACCACTATCACCACCACTACCACCACAACAACCACCACTACCACCACCACCACAACAACCACCACTACCACCACCACAACAACCACCACTACCACAACCACCACAACAACCACCACGACTACAACCATCACCACAACCATCACCACAACAACCACTACCACCACCACAACCACCACGACCACAACAATCACCACAATCACAACAACCACCACAACCACAACAACCACCACCACCACAACCACCACAACCACCACGACCACAACCCTCACCACAACCATCACCACAATCACAACAACCACCACAACCACAACAACCACCACAACCACCACGACCACAACCCTCATCACAACCATCACCACAACCACCACCACAACCACCACAACCACCACGACCACAACCCTCACCACAACCATCACCACAATCACAACAACCACAACAACCACCACAACTACCACAACCACCACAACCACCACAACCACGATGGTAGTGTAGTGGTTAGCGCTATGCTGCGCTATGAACCTGGCGACCCGGGTTCGATTCCCGCTCACGGCCAACACCACCAGTGACGATTCTCAGAACCGGTCCTGGGCCTCCCCTAGGTCTACTCAGCCTCAAATGAGTTACCTGGTGCGGTGTGTAGTGAACATCGCTAGCACTGGGGAGACAAAGGCGGCCGGGCGTGGGGCTGGCCACCCACCCCCTCGTGTACCACAGTGCCGGTAGCCTTCACAGCTGCTCGCTAACAGCACTTGCCCCTACAGCCTGCTAGAGGCTACACGGGGGATCTTTGTCTGTGTAGGTAGCTACCACTAACAGCACTTGCCCCTACAGCCTGCTAGAGGCTACACGGGGGATCTTTGTCTGTGTAGGTAGCTACCACTAACAGCACTTGCCCCTACAGCCTGCTAGAGGCTACACGGGGGATCTTTGTCTGTGTAGGTAGCTACTACTAACAGCACTTGCCCCTACAGTCTGCTAGAGGCTACACGGGGGATCTTTGTCTGTGTAGGTAGCTACCACTAACAGTACTTGCCCCTACAGCCTGTTAGAGGCTACACGGGGGATCTTTGTCTGTGTAGGTAGCTACTACTAACAGCACTTGCCCCTACAGCCTGTTAGAGGCTACACGGGGGAGCTTTGTCTGTGTAGGTAGCTACTACTAACAGTACTTGCCCCTACAGCCTGTTAGAGGCTACACGGGGGATCTTTGTCTGTGTAGGTAGCTACTACTAACAGCACTTGCCCCTACAGACTGTTAGAGGCTACACGGGGGAGCTTTGTCTGTGTAGGTAGCTACTACTAACAGCACTTGCCCCTACAGTCTGCTAGAGGCTACGCGGGGGATCTTTGTCTGTGTAGGTAGCTACTACTAACAGCACTTGCCCCTACAGCCTCTTAGAGGCTACACGGGGGAGCTTTGTCTGTGTAGGTAGCTACTACTAACAGCACTTGCCCCTACAGCCTGCTAGAGGCTACACGGGGGATCTTTGTCTGTGTAGGTAGCTACTACTAACAGCACTTGCCCCTACAGCCTGCTAGAGGCTACACGGGGGATCTTTGTCTGTGTAGGTAGCTACTACTAACAGCACTTGCCCCTACAGCCTGCTAGAGACTACACGGGGGATCTTTGTCTGTGTAGGTAGCTACTACTAACAGCACTTGCCCCTACAGCCTGCTAGAGGCTACACGGGGGATCTTTGTCTTTGTGGGTAGCTACTGCTAACAGCACTTGCCCCTACAGTCTGTTAGAGGCTACACGGGGGATCTTTGTCTGTGTAGGTAGCTACTACTAACGGCACTTGCCCCTACAGTCTGCTAGAGGCTACACGGGGGATCTTTGTCTGTGTAGGTAGCTACTACTAACAGCACTTGCCCCTACAGCCTGTTAGAGGCTACCTGGGGGATCTTTGTCTGTGTAGGTAGCTACTACTGACAGCACTTGCCCCTACAGTCTGTTACAGTGTGTGACTGTGTGTGTAACTGTGTGTGACTGTGTGACTGTGTGTGACTGTGTGTGTGTAACTGTGTGTGTGGGACTGTGTGTAACTGTGTGTATGTGTGACTGTCTGTGTGTCACTGTGTCTGTGTATAACTGTGTGTGTGTATAACTGTGTGTGTAAATGTGTGTGTGTGACTGTGTGTGTGTAACTGTGTGTATTTGACTGTGTGTAACTGTGTGTGTGTGTGACTGTGTGTGTGTGTGACTGTGTGTGTGTGTGTCACTGTGTGTGTGTGTCACTGTGTGTGTGTCACTGTGTGTGTGTGTAGGTGTGCGTGTTTGTGTGTGTAGGTGTGCGTGTTTGTGTGTGTAACTGTGGGTGTGTGTGTAACTGCGTGTATTTGACTGTGTGTGTGTGTCACTGTGTGTGTGTGTAACTGTGTGTGTGTGTCACTGTGTGTGTGTGACTGTGTGTGTGTGTAGGTGTGCGTGTTTGTGTGTGCGTGAATCTGGGCTACTCACGATTGACCTTCATCGCGACGAAGCTGTTTCCCCTTCTCCTGATGAGGTGAGCACTCACCTACTCACTCACCTACTCACCTACTCACTCATCTACTCACTCACCTACTCACTCACCTACTCACCCACCTACTCACTCACCTACTCACCTACTCACTCACCTACTCACTCACCTACTCACCTACTCACTCACCTACTCACTCACCTTCTCACCTACTCACTCACTCACCTACTCACTCAACTACTCACTCACCTACTCACCTACTCACGCACTCACCTACTCACTCACTCACTCACCTACTCACCCACCTACTCACTCACCTACTCACCTACTCACTCACCTACTCACTCACCTACTCACTCACCTACTCACCTACTCACTCACCTACTCACTCACCTACTCACTCATCTACTCACTCACCTACTCACCTACTCATGCACCTACTCACCTACTCGCTCACCTACTCACTCACCTACTCACTCACCTACTCACTCACCTACTCACTCACCTACTCACCTACTCACTCACGTACTCACTCATCTACTCACTCACCTACTCACCTACTCACACACTCACCTACTCACTCACCTACTCACTCACCTACTCACCCACCTACTCACCTACTCACTCACCTACTCACCTACTCACTCACTCACCCACCCACTCACTCACACACTCACCCACTCACTCACCTACTCACTCACTCACCTACTCACTTACTGACTCACTCACCTACTCACCTACTCACTCACCTACTCACTCACTCATCTACTCACTCACCTACTCACTCACCTACTCACCTACTCACTCACCTACTCACTCACTCACCTACTCACTCACCTACTCACTCACCTACTCACTCACTCACCCACTCACTCACCTACTCACTCACCTACTCACTCACCCACTCACTCACTCACCTACTCACTCACTCACCTACTCGCTCACCTACTCACTCACCTACTCACCTACTCACTCACCTACTCACTCACCTACTCATTCACCTACTCACTCACCTACTCACTCACCTACTCACTCACTCACTCACCTACTCACTCACCTACTCACTCACCTACTCACTCACTCACCTACTCACTCACCTACTCACTCACCTACTCACCTACTCCTCACCTCCTCACTCACTCACTCACCTACTCACTCACTCACCTACTCACTCACCTACTCACTCACCCACCTACTCAATCACTCACCTACTCACTCACTCACTCACCTACTCACTCACTCACCCACCCACTCACTCACCTACTCACTCACTCACCTACTCACTCACTCACCCACTCACTCACTCACCTACACACCTACTCACTCACCTACTCACTCACCTACTCACTCACCCACCTACTCAATCACTCACCTACTCACTCACTCACCTACTCACTCACCCACTCACTCACTCACCTACTCACTCACTCACCTACTCACTCACTCACTCACCTACACACTCACCTACTCACTCACTCACCCACTCACTCACCTACTCACTCACTCACCTACTCACTCACCTACTCACTCACTCATCTACTCACTCACTCACTCACCTACTCACTCACCTACTCACCTACTCACTCACCTACTCACTCACCTACTCACTCACTCACCTACTCACTCACCTACTCACTCACCTACTCACCTACTCACTCACCTACTCACTCACCTCACTCACTCACTCACTTACTCACCTACTCACTCACCTACTCACTCACTCACCTACTCACTCACTCACCCACTCACTCACCTACTCACCTACTCACTCACCTCCTCACTCACCTACTCACTCACCTACTCACTCACCTCACTCACTCACTTACTCACCTACTCACTCACCTACTCACTCACTCACCCACTCACTCACCTACTCACCTACTCACTCACCTCCTCACTCACCTCCTCACTCACCTACTCACTCACCCACTCACTCACTCACTACTCACCACCCACTCACTCACTCACCCACTCACTCACTCACCTACTCACTCACCTCCTCACTCACCTCCTCACTCACTCACCCACTCACTCAGTCACCTACTCACTCACCTCCTCACTCACCCACTCACTCACCTACCCACCTACTCACTCACCTCCTCACTCACCTCCTCACTCACACACTCACTCACCTCCTCACTCACCTCCTCACTCACTCACCACGATCTCCTGCGTACCAGGCGAGGTAGTCAACATCTGCTGACAGCTCTTGCCCCGATAACCCCTTGAGGCTACAGGGGCGAGTTGGTGTGTGGGAGCCTTTGTCTGTGTGGGCCGCTGCTGGTTTAATGGTCCGACGTTTCGGGCGCGGTGCCTCTTCCACAGCTGTTCTCAGCTCTGGAGGTCGCCCTGCGGGAACTGCGGACGGAGGTGCAACACCTGCGCAGGTCACTCACTTACACACTTACACACTCACTTACACACACACTCACACACTCACTTACACACTTACACACTCACTTATACACTTACACTCTTACTTACACACTTACACACTCACTTACTTACACACTTACACACACACTCACACACTCACTTACACACTTACACACTCACTTACACACTTGCACACTTACTTACACACTTACTTACACACTCACTTACACACTTACACACTCACTTACACACTTACACACACACTTACACACTCACTTACACACTCACTTACACACTTACACACTCACTTACACACTTACACACTTACTTACACACTTACACACTCACTTACACACACACTCACACACTCACTTACACACTTACACACTCACTTATACACTTACACTCTTACTTACACACTTACACACTCACTTACTTACACACTTACACACACACTCACACACTCACTTACACACTTACACACTCACTTACACACTTACACACTTACTTACACACTTACTTACACACTCACTTACACACTTACACACTCACTTACACACTTACACACACACTTACACACTCACTTACACACTCACTTACACACTTACACACTCACTTACACACTTACACACTCACTACTTACACACTTACACACTCACTTACACACTCACTTACACACTCACTTACACACTTATACACTTACACACTCACTTACACACTTACACACTTACTTACACACTTACACACTTACACACTTACTTACACACTTACTTACACACTCACTTACACACTTACACACTTACTTACACACTTACACACTCACTACTTACACACACACACTTACACACTTACTTACACACTTACACACTCACTTACACACTCACTTACACACTTACTTACACACTTACACACTTACTTACACACTTACACACTTACTTACACACTTACTTACACACTCACTTACACACTTACACACTCACACACTTACACACTTACACACTTACTTACACACTTACACACTTACTTACACACTTACACACTCACTTACACACTTACACACTTACTTACACACTTACACACTTACTTACACACTTACACACTCACTTACACACTTACACACTCACCACTTACACACTTACACACTTACTTACACACTTACTTACACACTTACACACACACTCACACACTCACTACTTACACACTTACACACTCACTTACACACTCACTTACACACTCACTACTTACACACTCACTACTTACACACTTACACACTTACTTACACACTTACACACTCACTTACACACTTACTTACACACTTACACACTCACACTTACACACTCACTTACACACTTACACACTTACTTACACACTTACACACTTACACACTTACTTACACACTTACACACTTACTTACACACTTACACACTTACTTACACACTTACTTACACACTTACACACTTACTTACACACTTACACACTTACTTACACACTCTTACACTTACACACTTACTACTTACACACTCACTACTTACACACTTACACACTCACTTACACACTCACTTACACACTCACTTACACACTTATACACTTACACACTCACTTACACACAATTACACACTTACTTACACACTTACATACTCACTCACTTACACACTTACACACTCACTTACACACTTACACACTTACTTACACACTCACACACTCACTTACACACTTACTCACTTACTTACACACTTACACACTTACACTCACACACTTACACACTCACACACTTACTTACACACTTACACACTCACTTACACACTTACACACTCACACACTCACTTACACACTTACTTACACACTTACTTACACACTCACACACTTACACACTTACACACTCACTTACACACTTACACACTCACTTACACACACACACTCACTTACACACTCACTTACACACTTACACACTCACTTACACACTCACTTACACACTTACTTACACACTTACACACTCACTACTTACACACTTACTTACACACTTACACACTTACTTACACACTTACACACTTACTTACACACTTACTTACACACTTACTTACACACTCACTTACACACTTACACACTCACTTACACACTTATATATGCACTTATACACTTACACACTTACTTACACACTCACACTTACACACTCTTACACTTACACACTTACTTACACACTTACACACTTACTTACACACTTACACACTCACTTACACACTTACACACACACTCACACACTGACACACTTACACACTCACTTACACACTGACACACTCACTTACACACTCACTTACACACTTACACACACTCACTTACACACTCACTTACACACTCACACACTCACTTACACACTTACACACACTCACCACTTACACACTCACCACTTACACACTCACCACTTACACACTCACTACTTACACACTTACACACTTACTTACACACTCACTACTTACACACTTACACACTTACTTACACACTTACACACTCACTACTTACACACTTACACACTCACTTACACACTCACTTACACACTTACACACTCACTTACACACTTACTTACACACTCACTTACACACTTACTTACACACTTACACACTTACTTACACACTTACACACTTGCTTACACACTTACACACTCACACACTTACACACTCACTTACACACTTACTTACACACTCACTTACACACTTACACACTCACACACTCACTTACACACTCACTTACACACTCACACACTCACTTACACACTTACACACTTACTTACACACTTACACACTTACTTACACACTTACGCACTCACTTACACACTTACACACTCACACACTCACTTACACACTCACACACTTACACACTCACTTACACACTTACACACTCACTTACACACTAACTTACACACTTACACACTCACTTACACACTCATTTACACACTCATTTACACACTTACTTACACACTCCCACGCTCACTAAGACACGCTCACTTACACACTCACACGCTCACCAACACATACACTCACACACCCACTCACTCACTCACCCACTCACTCACACGCTCACTCACCCACTCACTCACCCCCCACCCACCCACTCACCCACCCACCCACTCACTCACACGCTCACTCACCCACTCACTCACTCACCTACTCACTCACTCACCCACTCACTCACACACTCACTCACCCACCCACCCACTCACTCACTCACCCACTCACCCACTCACTCACTCACCCACTCACTCACTCACTCACCCACTCATTCACTCACTCACCACTCACTCACCCACTCACACACTCACTCACTCACTCACCCACTCACTCACTCACCCACTCACTCACTCACACGCTCACTCACCCACCCACTCACTCACTCACCCACCCACTCACTCACTCACTCACCCACCCACCACTCACTCACTCACCCACTCACTCACCCACTCACTCACTCACCCACTCACTCACTCACCCACCCACCCACCCACTCACTCACCCACCCACCCACTCACTCACTCACCCACTCACCCACTCGCTCACTCACTCACTCACCAACTCACTCACTCACCCACTCACTCACTCACTCACCCACCACTCACTCACTCACTCACCCACTCACCCACTCGCTCACTCACTCACTCACCAACTCACTCACTCACCCACTCACTCACTCACTCACCCACCCACCCACTCACTCACTCACCACTCACTCACTCACCCACTCACTCACCCACTCACTCACTCACTCACCCACTCACTCACTCACCCACTCACTCACCCACCCCCCCCCCCACCCCCCCACCCCCCCCCCACCCACCCACCCCCCCACCCACCCCCCCCCCACCCACCCCCCAGGCTGCCCCCTGTGCACCGTGGGGTCCCGTGGAGCGATTCTGGGCCCTGTCGGATGGCCGCGTGGTGGAGTACGACTTTGAGGAGGAGACGCTCACCACTCGCTCGGCCTACCAGAGCGTGAGAGTGCTCCGCTCTCCCCAGTACGGGAGCACTCTGGTGCTCAACGGGGACGTCAGTGAGTCACTACCACACCACCACCACCGCTACCACCACTACCACCACTACCACACCACCACTACCACCACTACCACCACTACCACCGCTACCACCACCACCACCACTACCACACCACCACCACTACCACACCACCACCACTACCACCACTACCACCACCACCACCACCACCGCTACCACCACCACCACCGCTACCACTACCACACCACCACCACTACCACTACCACACCACCACTACCACACCACTACCACCACCACCACACCACCACCACACCACCACCACCACTACCACCACTACCACCACCACCACCGCTACCACCACCACCACCACACCACCACCACACCACCACCACACCACCACCACCACCACCAACACACCACCACCACACCACTACCACCACCACACCACCAACACCACCACCACCACCACACCACACCACACCATCACCACCCACCACACCACACCACCACCACCACCGCTACGACACCACCACCACTCACCACCACCACACACCACCACACCACCACCACCGCCACTGTGACTTTGACGGGGAGACACTGTCAGCTCTGTGTGTGTCTGTGTGTCCACGGGGCAAGTCAGATCTAC